ATTTTTCACATCTACGGGGCGCCATGTTTCTGAGATTTTTGTGTCCTTAAAGCGGGGAGTGTCTTTAAAAATGGTGACTTCAATGCGGGGATGACTGTACCCCATGTTGTGCCTGAACACGTGGGGTATACCCCATTTGTCAACTCCCCATAATGATTCTTTGTGTGACTGACCCCCGTTGGTGCGTCAAACATGGCACCGACAGGCGTAAAGCGGTGTCGAGAACGAATACGTCGGACGGACGGAACACACACAATACACCAAGAAGTGAAGGGTCGTGGCGTTTTTGCGAGATACGGGTGTCCCGGGAGGATGTAAAGGTACCAACGCCATGTACTTTAACAGAGCGCCCGGATGTTGGCAGGGTCTCGCCATATCAGGAGGAAAGTAGTTGGCGTAGGCAGCATCGAATTGGGTATTGTAGCCCCCCCCCGCCCCCCATACTGGTGGTCGAGTAGATCATGTTGTGCGGGGTCGAGAATCCTCACTCCGCGCAAGGGGGATGATCGCACCACGTTGTGTTAAAATGGTCAAGCACCCTCGAGGCAGTTACACAGTGCTTACAACTGTCTCTGGAAGTGAAAGCACCAGAAAGTAAATTAAGTCATACGCAGCTGTCATCCGTACGCAAGGAAGTAAGCACAAGATGCCGAACACCCTTAGCAGGATGCAGCGCACCCTTCATGCGACTCGCCGAATATCTCACGGCGCTTCGCGCTTGGTGATGTGAGAGCCTGGTCCGGTGAGAACCCGGCGTGCTCCGTCCCGGCTTTGTAGGGATGCGAGGTCAATGGTCTAACGACTACGGCATGCACGACTATGAGTACACCCCCTCCCGACCCCCGCCCGCCTTGCACACCGTCTTCCATGTCAGCCGGGTGGGGATCCCATCAAGGCCAAGTACAGCTACGAGTACCAGCTTGTGTCGCTGCTTCAGCAGCTAGGGAGGTCCGTGACCATGGTGACGATGGAGAAAATGGACCCGTCTCCGCAGGGCTGGACCCACACCGAGCACATCTTCGGGTGCGACATGTAGATGCGTTATGGTCTGTTGCTGCTGGTGTTAGTGGCGCATGAAATCTGTTTTGACCTCGTTTGTAGTTCTCGTTGTTGTTTCCTTGTCTCTTGTTGTTGTTGTGTTGTTGTTGTTGTTGTTGTTGTTGTTGTTGTTGTTATGTTTGTTGTCGGGACGGTGACTCGTCGTTGTTGGTGGCGTTTATGTTGTGTTGTTGTGTTCGTTTGTTGGTGTTGTTTGTGTTGGTGCTGCTACTGCTGTGTGTTGTTTTCTGCTGTCGGGATGGCGACTAGCGTGTGCCGCGGCCCTTTTACCGGGGCAGGGTTTCTATTACCAGCCAGGTATGTGAGGCGTTTTTTATCCTGCACCTCGGGACGACTCTTCCTCCATGCGTCGATTGCTGTTTCACATATTCGTTGCATTCACGTCCCTTCCCTCCATCCCCCCTCCGACCTGCGGTTCACTCTTGTCAACACTAGCCCTCCCCGTTCTCATACCCCTCTACCCCCTACCCTATCGGGGATTGTAAATCGTCCCCGCGTTACTTAACAGCAAGCCCAATGGCGACAAGCGGGTGGCCACATTCGCCGCGGGCTCGCTCAACTTCCACTTGTACAAGGTATGGGAAGAGTGACATACCACTGCTATTCACGGTACGGTTATTGGCAGCATGTCCGTCGTACGGTAGTGTTTATTGTATTCGTCCGCATACGAGTGCTAAGGGATGTGGCAGGCCTTATACGGGGCAGCCGTCACTGTGCAGAGATTTTTTTTTTCCTCCCATCATCGGATTCTGTCGTCTGCCCCTCTGGCCCCTATCCTCCACTTCTACTAGCTAGACGACCCAACCGGGGTCACATAGGAGGGGGGGGGTGGACCCCCTCCTGCGGTCCCTGCCTGAAGTGTTTTTATCGCGAGAAGGGTACAGCAATCCCTTCCCTCGCGACTTACGAAGTCGATTATGGTTTACTAACAACGAATGAGACAGCTTGGATATTCCGTTCGTGTTACACGACTTTCTCCGGGCGAGCGGCCTGAGCAAGTGGCGAAAGGTGCGAAAATCGGCCCCCGCCCCTGTCCTCCATTCCCTCCCAGCCCGCCTTTCCTCCTGATCTTGGGCCTTCAGTGAATCCACCGCTCCGCCTACGAACACAATCAAAGGATCGATCGCCTCTGAGAATAAGAATCATCTCCCAACCTGCGCCCGCCGCTAGGCGGAGGCGCTAGGTTAGTGATTCCCGGCAATGCCTCAAGAAGTTCCGAAGCCGAAAGGCGGCACATTTGCTTCCATTCAGCAGAAAAACTCGCGGGACGCGAGTCGACCGGTCATGTCACTTGCACGGTCTTGACCGCGAAAGGGTCTGTCTGACCCTCTCCTGCGTGAAATAGCCGAGATTCAGCCGCCGTCCACGCATAACAGGGCCAGAAAGACCCTTTCGCGGTCAAGACCGTGCAAGTGACATGACCGGTCGACTCGCGTCCCGCGAGTTTTTCTGCTGAATGGAAGCAAATGTGCCGCCTTTCGGCTTCGGAACTTCTTGAGGCATTGCCGGGAATCACTAACCTAGCGCCTCCGCCTAGCGGCGGGCGCAGGTTGGGAGATGATTCTTATTCTCAGAGGCGATCGATCCTTTGATTGTGTTCGTAGGCGGAGCGGTGGATTCACTGAAGGCCCAAGATCAGGAGGAAAGGCGGGCTGGGAGGGAATGGAGGACAGGGGCGGNCGGTACGGGTGCTGGTTGGGATGAGATTTTCTCAAGAGGCGATCGATCCTATAGAAAGTTCGTGGGCGGAAAGGGTCGAGTCGCTGACGACCAAAGATCGGGGGTTGAATACAGGAGCTGGGAGCGACTTGGCGAGGTGGGGGGGGGGGGTACTCATAGTCGTGCATGCCGTAGTCGTTAGACCATTGACCTCGCATCCCTACAAAGCCGGGACGGAGCACGCCGGGTTCTCACCGGACCAGGCTCTCACATCACCAAGCGCGAAGCGCCGTGAGATATTCGGCGAGTCGCATGAAGGGTGCGCTGCATCCTGCTAAGGGTGTTCGGCATCTTGTGCTTACTTCCTTGCGTACGGATGACAGCTGCGTATGAATTAATTTATTTTCTGGTGCTTTCACTTCCAGAGACAGTTGTAAGCACTGTGTAACTGCCTCGAGGGTGCTTGACCATTTTAACACAACGTGGTGCGATCATCCCCCTTGCGCGGAGTGAGGGTTCACCCCGCACAACATGATCTACTCAACCATCATTATGGTTACCGCCCAAAAAAAATAAACGGAGGAAAAAAAAAAGAACGGTAACCTGGTTGCCGAGTTCACGAAGTGACTAGGCTTGTTTTACAACGTCGTTGCCAAGCGACGAAAACCCAATCCTGATGGCAAACACCNTCTACTCGACCACCCTCATGGTTACCGCCAAAAAAAAACAGAGGTAAAAAAAAAAAAAACGGTGACCTGGTTGCCGAGTTCACGAAGTGACTAGGCTTGTTTTACAACGTCGTTGCCAAGCGACGAAAACCTGACCACGATGGCAAACACCGGGGAGGGGCGGACTTGGCGAGGGGGTCATTTTTTTTTTCCAACCTCGTGCCCCCTCCGGTGATATAATTTCCGGTCATCAAAATGCCAACCGGTGTATACCACGCCGCTGAAGATCATTCACAAATCCAAATCAAGGTAATCACCGCGGAAACGTCGCATTGCGGTGGAGTGATTCCGGCGAGCGAGACTCATCCACAGGATTGTTGCACGAAACCGGCAAGAATTTGCGCGTGCGAGCACTGCAGCAAGAGCGCCTGATTGCGAAGACCCTGAAATCGAATTGCTGTGGTATCAAGGAAGCCTGCATACCACGTATGATACATGCATAGCGTACAAGTGCGCTTTTTTTTCTTTCTTCCGTCAAGACGATCTCTATCTGGTCATGCCCCTCACCGCGGACCGCCTTGGCGAGGATCTTATGCGTTATTTATGAAGTAGAGGGGGGGAGTCGTAACCCTAACACAAAGCCAACCCGTCACTCGCGAAGTCGACTGCTCGCCGCCCCCCTCCGCCCGCCTCCCCACCCTCCTATTTTCTTCCTGTAAAGACGAACTCGGGCCCCTGGCAGTGCTCGTTCTGCAAGCAGCAGCACGCCACGACCGTGATCAAATGCTCCTGTCCATCCAGCAGGCGTGCGGATCTAAGGCCGAAGATAGCAGGCAGCGCCAGCAGCAGCAACGGTAGCAGTGGCACCTGAACGGGCGGCCTCTCCCCTCTTTTCACGCAGCAGGAGCGGGAGCACCTAGCTGTTTTTGCGCGTTGGTCAGCTAGTCAAAGGCCCCTTTCACGATACGTTGCCACGGGCCGGCAAGTGCCTTGAATGACAGGGGTTGAACGAACCATGTTTTGTCTGTGCCTGAGCGGATCAGTCAGAAAGCGTCGTAGATGAGAACGAATCGCTATCGTGCGTAGCTTGGGGGTGTTGATAGCTTAACGCGGTGGGCGCTTGGATAATGCGACGGTGCGGTGCGGTGCGGTGGCTGAAAAAAGCAGGCACTGCAGCCGTTCCGCGTTTGTTGGCTAGAGCAAGGAGCGGGGGCATCGTACGCCCCTGTTCGGTATTTAAGGGTCTCCGGGATAGGAAGGAGAGAACACCTTTTCGGAGGTATGCATATGTCGCCCAACTTGGCATTTTCTACCAGAACCTTCGTTTATCGTCGTCGTCAGCGAAGCTATTAGAAAGCTTCGCCGCGTCCCTTCGACGGGGCACCAAGATTGGAACGGGCACACTGCTTGGGGGGGGGGGGGTTTGGCATGGCCTGTAGCAACAAGGCCGGGGCGGGGGGAATTGGCGCAACGGCGTCCCCCGCCCCGCAACACTGGCGAGCGTTGACGCGGCGTGACCGCGATTGCAAATGTCGATCGCCGTGCTGATGCCGCCTCCTCGTGCTTGCTGAGCACAAGTACCTCGTTTCGAATCCGTTTCTTTCAGCACGAGTCTGGATGTTTTTTGAACCGAGAGGTGAATGTAGGGGGTTTCGGAAGTGCGATCGACAATTTCATCTTAACGAAAGGTACGAGAGTGAACGAACCCCGACAATCCGCGCTGGGTTGGCCACCATGGGTCGGGTGTGCTGGCCTGATGAAACCCTTTTCTTTGGCGGGGGGGGTGGATCTTAGACAACTACAAAAGGGATGCTGAAAGACAACCAGGCATCGCTGCTTCGTGTTGGACTACAGTGGGTGGCCCGATATAGTGCCGGTTGAATAGTGCCGGTTGCCGGTATAGTGCCGGTGTTTTCGGCTCGCACACACCGGAATATCAAGTCTTTCTGTACTCTGAATAGTGCCGGTGCCCGGTATAGTGCCGCTTTGCTCTCTGAACACATACCGGCACTATAGAGGGCCCCCTACTGTATTGAAGAGGGGAGATGGGGGGCCATATCTTGCTTCGGGTGGCAGATGTGGGGAACAACTCCGACTCGAAGTGTCAGTTTCGTGTTTTATTTATTAGTGCAGTCCAGTGGACTGCTTCTTTTCTGTGTTTTCTTCCGCCTCGCCGAGTGGGGATGGGGCGGGCAGCGCACGACACGCATAGCGCTCCGCCAGATAGATACCTCGGTGTTGCCGCGTCTTTTATCGTGGTTTACTCTCCCGGTACGTTGGTTGGACGTCAAGCTGTTGCGAGATTTCACCGCGACTCCCTACACGTGGCGCATGTTGTTTTCGTGATCTCAACCAACACCATGTACATACAGCATGTTGGTTTGCCGTTGGGATGATCCTGTCGTGAATGCTATTTATTATTACGTGCTTGCCAGCTCTTCGGGGGTTACACCCTTCGTAGGTTGTTGGTAATGGGATTTCGGGCTGACAAGAAGAAGTCGTCGTCAGCGGGAGGTTGTCCGTTTTGTGGTGCGTTTGACTTTGGAAGAAAAAAAAAAGGACAAGGATGCGGCTCCTATCTGTGTGTGTGCACTTCGTCATTCAGGGCTGACTGCTGCTGTCCCTGCGATGTTGTGTCTTAAATTTCTTCCTGTAGGCTGGGGGCAATGCGAAGATTTCCTTCCAGGAGTTATTTACGGCTCGATTGTGCGGCGGCAGTCAATGACCGCTATATATGCGCCATCGAAGAGAACAAACAATCGTAATGATGAGCGGCTGGTGGTGTTGTGTTGGCGGTTTAGGTACAAGTAAGTAGTGCTTGCTTGTTTTTTTCCTGCTGAACGTTTGCCACGTTTGAAAATGAGTGGTGGGGGCGGGTTGGTCTTTCCTGGACGCGAAAACTAAAGGATTCGAGTGTGGATGGTTCTTTCGGTGGGCTGATGGGGATATATATATATATATATATATACATGTAGGGCTGCTATTTTTTCGTTCCTACCGAACGTGGTCGTTGTTCGGCCCTTCGAACAGTGTGAGAAGGGCCTGTCATATTGTGGTTGCAACTGTTATTATTTTTTCTTTTGTTGTTCAGAACAATACGGCGAAACCAGCTGCGAGCTGCCGAAGGGAATCATCACCTCGCCGCACTTTTTGTAGCGAAAAGGAAAGAGTTGTCACGTCCGAGGCCTTGCTTGGGCGTCGAGGGATGTTTTCCGAATAGCACAAAATGCTGCTGGAAAAGGCTGGGTCTTAACGGAACATCTAGAGTAGTGCAAGGAGTTCTTCTGGGTGGTGAATACACATGTAATCCACCACATGCAGCAAGTTCTTAGCGCTTTTCTGGCGACTAGTGACTGCAAGCAAGGTCAGACGAATGGGGAACGGAGGTGGACGCATCTCTCCTCGTGCTGCGTTTGTGTTGCGTGGTACAGGAGACAGGCCTAGGGAGTGCGTGGAACATGAGTTTTATTGCATGACATGCGTTCCGCACACCACGAATGCATTAGGAAGAGAGAGACGCGCAAATCTGTGCTGCGTTTCGCACTGCTCTGTTTTTTTTCTTGGCGTGTTTTTTTGTGGTTGTTCTGAGGTGGACGGTCCAGCAGCATGGTGGCTGACTTTCGGATACTCACGCCTTAGAGAGAGAGAGAGAGAAAAATGTAGACTCAGTAGCATTGGGGGAAATGCCGCTCTGTGGTTGCGGGCACACGCACACATCATCCACGCCGTAGTCTAGAGACTCAAAAAACGGGACGTTGAAGTTCACGCGGTTTCGCACGAAAGGTGCAACAAGAAGCTGCACATTCGCTAACATTTTTCGTTCCTTACGGACGGGTGTTTTGCGGTATAGTATGACTGTGGGTCAGTGGGCTTGTCGAACGACAAGATGCGGTGTTGAACGGTGCGGGCGGGGATCAGTTGCGCTCGTCGAACGATCTAGCACGGCATGTATTCAAGCAAGATGGATCGCCGATATATACTAGGTTGTCGGTGTTTGCAGCATCATGGGAGGGGGGCGGGGTGAGGAGAAGGAAGGGCAAATGGATGTCACGTAGGTTAGAGAAATGCACTCTGTGTCTTGTCTGCTTGTTGTTTGATCTTGGTTGGACGCATTAAATGCGGAATGAGCATTCCTTTTGGCTAAGGACGGCAGCAGCAGCGTTAAGCGAGGTTACAACAAACACGGAGCGAGGAGGGCAGGAAATTCAGGTCTCTCTTCCGATTGTCGCTTGCCTGTTATGTAGAGTAGTACACCACCCTGCTCTCTCTGTCCTTCTTTCCTTCACCATCCGACATGTGTGCGCGTGTGTGTGGTCAGCTTTGACCCCAACATGATGAATAGTAAAAGTACGAAGGAAGCTTTACCATCAAGGGTGAGCAGCAACAGTACGTCTCTCCGATTTCGATCGGAAACCTCCACACGTCTTGCGTTGTTAATCGCTACACGTCCTGGTAACAAGAAACCCTCGGCTGAGTGTTGCGGGGCTAGCTGATCGGGATAAGAAGTACCTAGAGGGAATTTCCTGCGTTCTTGTCTTTGACGGGAGGAATGGCTTCACTTTGGAGTCTTGCAATTCATCCCATTTAATCGGCATCAAGTCACCAACATTTGCTCTTTCGCCCTCCTAGTCTACAGTAGTCTCAGTCCATCGGCAAACAAAAAACTTCGCAAATTTGTTTGTTAGCCATTGGTCTAGGTAGGGGCTACAGCAGTCCCTCCAAAGAATCTGAGCTCCTTGCCAGACAAAGGATGATTTGGTTTCAGTATGAAAAGTGTCCCCAAAACGTTGGGACACTTTTCATGCCGAAGCCAAGTCAGCAACATATTTTTCCAGTACTGTACTAGGCGATGTGTGCTACAGTTTTACGACCTGGGGGGCACGCGGGTTGGGAGACGAGTGCAGCAAGTCAAAGGCCCCGGAGAGGCATCACACAGCATATATCACACAGCGTACAACCTCAGCCAAGCATGGTAGTCTAGACCAAGTTCTCACGAGCGTTGCACACAGCGGAGCCTAGGGTGACCACAGTGTGCGGTAAATAGGCATTTGATTGAGTGCTGTGGTCCCGAAAGTGTCCCTATTTGGGCTTGCAGTACTAGGAGGGTTAACCCATGCATTACAGCATCTTGTCGGACAGGAGAGGAGGCGCAAGAACTTTCCAAAAGACGCCGCACGCTAGCCTGCTCCTCGCTGTACGCACTTTGTCACAGAAAATAACTATCCCACATAGTCTATACTTCTAATAACAAGAAATATTTTGTTTGTTCAGCTCTTCTCGAATGGAGACGATGGAGACGGCGGGGGGAACCGAGGAACACTTTCGTAGACGAGGCTAAATGTTTCTTTCTTTCTTGGCTGCCCCCTTCAATCACACGTCAACGTCGTGCATGAGCCAACTAGACTGCAATATGCCTAGAAAGAGAGAGTGGGCGCTCTGGCAATGACATTGAACGCGCCCAATTGAAATCGAATTTCTTCACGAGGGGAGCCGTAAGAGTTGGTGTCCCTCCCTCTGGCGGGATGGTCACGCGCGGTCACCGCCGAATAGGCAACCGCCTGGAATTTCTCATGAGCGAAAGAGAAAATGACACAAGCCACTCTTTTTATCTAGAAAATGCGTGTCACGTCACGTCCGACCGTCAGTCACAAGATTCCTGTCGTCGCATAAATCGTGTGCTGTCTGTCACGCGGCCGCCTGTCTGTGCTGTTATCAAATTACCTCACCAAGAGTCACCGACATTCGTACAGGTGGTATCCTGCACATGTGTTTGTCTGTGCTTGGCTTACAACGTTCGACGGGTGGCAGCAGCAGCAGCAGCAGCAGCAGCAGCAGCAGCGACAGCGTGACATGCCAAGAGGAGACTATCCAATGTGCAATACAAGGTCGTCCATGTTCCAACATAGTTTCGGTTTCGCCAACAACGTTCCCAACTCCTACTACATCCATGAATCATCATCTAGATCTAGACGCCCCCCCCTCTCTCTAGCGCGCGGCGTGATTTTGCTTCCATGTATAGTCCTCATTCACGATGAATATACAGAGCTAGAATAACGCACGCCCACATGAAGTGAACTGTTCGGGGCTGAGAACGAAAAGCAAACATAGAGTGAGTGACGCCGGAATGTCGGGAACTGTTCGACGAAACGGGCGTGCAGACAACACTCAGTCCACCGCAAACAACCATGCTCGCTCCCGCTGGCGAAAGCAGCTACAACTGAGGTCGAAACTTTTGTACTTTTGCCCGTCCTCCGTCACCCCTGCAACCCCCCCGAGTCTTGTCCTTTACCTCTACCGCATGATGCAAGTGCGAGCACACCCACCCATGATATACTGATTCATTCGCCATCGTCGCAAGTACGACCATGGGCCTCCCATCCATCAATCGGTTCCTAGACGCGACAACCGACATACATAAAAACAAAAACAAAAACACGAAATCCTGCGGGCCCCGTCTAGATTGGCAAGAAGCGGGAGCTTTTCTCGGACGTCTGACACGACCTGGCTTGGTGTGCTCTGTGCCGTATGGCCACCATCAACGAAACGACTCATGTCATCAACTCAACGATCCTTGTCCCAAAAGCCTAAACGTTCCATCACCACCACCCCACCGCTCCTGCCATAAAAATTCTGAGTAAATCAGGCACATTTCCCACTCGGGTGAAGCGCATCAACGTTGCCCCACATGTCACCGTCAGCTCAACATCAAGACAGGCCGGAAGACCAAGGTTCCTCGAGAGCGGAATCAAATATTTTCTTCCACGCTTAACGACGACACCACAAAAACAAGAAACGTAGCGCGAAAAAACACAAAAATGGACGGCGAGAGCCGTGCGGATTGCCGCTAGACGACGCCCGCGAAAAACAAAAGAGGGGGGGGGCGGGGGGGGCACCGGCACACTCAGCCAGGCAAATTAACCGTCACGCTACCAGGCGGAGAAACCGCACTTTTTTTTGTTTTCGCCAACCGCCCAGGGAATGCAAGCCCAAAGAGCCATCCACGCATTGCAACCGGTTCGTCCTCATGATTCTACTCCCTGCAAACCTGTTAGAGCAGAACACTACCACCATGCGTAGCCCTAGCCAGACAAGCGCTTCAACGTATCCAATTGGGTACCGGCGAACAAGGGTGAAGACGGCACTTGGCATCAATTCATGCGATACAAACAACGAGGTGCCCCGCAGATTCATTTCACCCCCCCCTCCGCCCTCCCTCTGTTGACCCCGACAAGAGCTTCAAGCCAAGCAACTAACTCACCAACCATCCGCTCCTTCTCTCGACCTCCCCCTTCCAAGACGACAAACGAAGCGTCATCTCCTCGACCCCTGCGTCACCCTCCGGGGCAACAAGAGCCCCCCATGGCAAAACACGCCGTTACAGGAAAATTGACGTCGAGACAAACCAAACCATGATCAGAGGGAAGGGGAGAAAGACGCAGCGAAGCGAGAGAGAAGCAGCTTAAGCCTTCTCCGCCGGCGCAGCCTCCTCCGCACCTCTACAAAAAAAAAAAAAATCGAGGGAAGCGAGCAAACAACAACAGGGAGCAAATAGCGAAGGAGACCAAATGTATTTAGAGTATTCATGTCTCTCTTACGCCAGTTTCGTGGTCGCTCTACTATTACAGCGTTGGTTTGATGCGTACATTTCACCAAACATACAACTCTTGAACTCTCTCCCTCTCTGATGCTATAGTGCTGGTTTGATGCGTGCATTCCACTTACATTCAACTCTTCTTGATTTTGATTGTTCGGGCGCCAAGCAAAGGGGAACGGGAGCGGAGCGCCATCGCGTCGAGCACATACAGTACAACCAACGTCTCAAAAAAAAAAAAATCGAGGAGGTTACGCAACACGGGGATTCAGTCGTAGGAAGAAAAAGAAAGCACCTTCACACAACAGAAAAAAAAAGCAGTTGCACCGACTATTGCTAACGCTCCTACTCAGAGGCAAACGAGTTTTTCCTTGCCGTTGACCGATTTGATGAAATTTGGGATCCCAGAAACCACCATGTTCTATTGCACACTTCATTTCAGTAAGGGACTCGTTACACCGTAGTCGGAAGTGAAGAGAAAAAAGCACCAAAAACCGCAAGTGGCACGACGAAATTCAAACGCACAAAAAAAAAATTAAACTACAGCGGGAAAACAAACAAGTCTGGGTAACAAGACTCACGTTCCAACGCTAAGGTTCTGGAGAGCATCTGCCGCCGCATCTGTGCTAGGGTCCGCTGCCGCCTCCTCCTCCGTTGCCGGCGCCGTCTCTTCCGCTGTAGCCGTTGGCAAAACGGCACAAATAAATTATTTCAACCGAAACATACGTGCGAGAGGACCGGACACGAAACGGCGGAGTATTCGGACGATGAAGCAAATGTCGTACGAGGGCGATCCGGTACACATTTTGTTGCGGTTCGATGCTCGAGGGGTGTATGGCTTCCCGAAAAAATGCAAAACGTGAGGGCTGTGTACGTCGCAGAAGAAGGGCATTCGGAACGATATTATACTTTCTTAAGGACATCAAGGGCGGCCAACACGGAACCAAGCAAACGCCGGCTTGTCTCGCCTGCCCCCCTTCCGTTTTCAGCTCGGAAAACCATGAACGCTACTCTCTTGAAATACTAGAAAGGCTTCCGAATACGAAACAATAGGCTTCGGCTGCTCCCCGATAACGTTTCAAGAGACCTCGCACAAAAAAAAGCAGACGCGTCGCGGGACGCGTCCGACAGTAATCCCCCCCCGCCTCTTCCCTCTCCGAAAAATTCAATACTCCCGAAACCAGACACCAAAAGCTTAAGCTTACCCTCTGCCGCTGGTTCCGGCGCTTCTCCCGCCATGAGACCCTCCACTACCTTTTGGGCCGCCGTGAATTGCTGGGTTATATTTCGTTGTTGTAGATCAATCGGACGGCGAGAAGAAGGAGAAGGGGGGAGAATGAGAGAGATGGGAGGGAAGACGCGGGTGTGATTCAAGGGTACTACAACCACACACGCCCACGACAACGAATGATCTAGATTACGGCTGTACGCCAGCGTACGTGCAGCACGGCAGCCTACAGCATCGTCGTGCGAGAAAATTCTTGGACATTGGTGACACCAAGCTGAACCTGGTTATGGCATTCCGTGTGCGAGGGGGGGGGGGGGGGTTACCTTTCGAG